GAGCATGACAAAGTAAATTGTAGTAACAAACAATGAGGATCCTCCGAACTATGGAAAGGGGAAGAGGATTTATTCCTTGCATAAATCGATTATCTGGTGATGCACTTCATCTACATGAAAGCTTTCCCAGAGATTTATTCCAGGAAGTCTGTTCAGAGTATTTTCGCGCCACTACAGCAGATTCGTTAATACCAGATCAACTATCCTCCATCGACGTGTCACTCTCTGCTTCTCTCATTCATCCTGCTCCCGAACGATTATGCGCGCGCGTCGCGCATACCAATGCATTCGATCGCATCCACAAGTTTGTTTTATTGTCGGCCATTTGTGTCACGAATCGCATTATTCGTAATTCCGAGACGTTTGACTCGATTTCCAGTGAGTAATTGAAAGTTAATTGCAGGCTAAGTTAGATGGAATGGAACATTTGATGTCAGATTGTTTATAGGCGATATTTATTGGCGAATAATTTATATTCAAATTCAATTCAATAAATAAGAAAATTTTGATGATCTCGTTAAATGATATTTTTAAACGAAAATACTCTTTCTTTTTTGTTTTTTTGATATTGAAAAATATATTTTACGAAAAATTGTGTTTTATCTGTTGCTATATTGAGTAGCTAGGTATCACAAGAACGGCATTCGTGGTGTTTGAAAATATAAAAAAAATTTTAGGCGAGATCGATTATCTAACATTATAGTTTTATGTTCTAGAAAAGTGCTCTTATTTATTAAAAAAACTTTCTATTTTCTATTGAATATAAAATATATTTAAATAATATTATAATTATCAATAAATAACAGTTATGGCATAATGCAGCCAAAGTCGTTATGCATTTCGCATTTAATCGCAGTTACTTTTCAAGATGCATTTTTTTCTAATACATAAATGATATTTTATCGTTACAGGTGCGTTCGAGATCGCTAACCCAGCTGGACTCCCTGAGTGGCAGCATGCTGGACACAGGAGAGCATCATCTGGAGGACGATCCCTCGCAACAGCAGTCCCATCACTCGCATCACCATCAGCAGCCCCATCAGCTACAACATCACCCTCTCGGTATCGAGTACAATCGAATTCGATTTCTCGCACCGAACACGACACCCGCCGAGATCGCCAATTCCAATCGCAGGCACAAATTTTCGCGATCTCAAGTGAGTATTTATTCACAAATGTTTGACAAACGCTTCTTGTGTGTCACGCTGAAGATAACTTGTAGCATTTATGAGCATTATCGTATTAACACGATTCTGTTACACTTTTTTACCGGCGGAATACTTAACAGCTTCTTTCGAACTTCCTCGTTCCCTTTCCTCAATTTAAACTTTGCCGAGTATCACTGTGCAGGCTTTTACAGTAACAAAATGTTCCTTATTATAGCCTCTCTTCCGTATCTTTGCAGCTATGACGTATACTGATATTAGAGTCTCACATTTAATTAAAACGAAGAAACTTTAATTCTCGATAGAAATCTCAAGCGAGACTTTTTCCTTCGCCAAAAACTAAATGCGTACCACGCTTTTACGAAACAGTTGAAGTTTCTTTATTAAATAACTAAACAATTAACTCTGAAGTGTGTTAAATTGAAATAAAAGTTATCTCAAGTTATTTCAAGTTGAAATATAAATTTTCTGTTATCATTTGTCTTTCATGAAAGTTTTAAGTCGCTTTCCTTTTTTTAATCGTCCATAATTAATAAATCGTTCATAATTTAATCTTCTTTATAAAAGGAAAAGGATCCTTTCAAGTTTCCACGTGAAATATTGCATAATTATGGGCATATATGCGTGAGAATCACATTACTACGTATTCGACGCGAAATATTTATTGCTCGAATTGCACATTTGCTCGAATCAAAAAGAGAGAGAGGGAAAGAAGGTTATAATGTTCAGTGTGGAAATAAAAAGATCGCACGTATGCGGAAAGTTCGATATAACGAGAGAAAAAATTCCCTCTTTATTCGCGGATTCCGGTTTATCCTAGCGCGACGAGCGAATAAAACGGATAAAACAAAACACGACTGGCGAACTCTCATCGTCATTGTATCGTCGACATCTGAAAGAAATAGAAATATGTGTTCGCGTCTTTCGCACCGTTTGCGACATCACTAAAGTATCTTTCATTGTTTAACCAACGGAAATTTCAAATCGGTAACCAAAAGAAAGAGTGAGAAAAATGCACGATGAATCATCATAAACGATGAAAGTCACACATCAAAATACAAAATGTGTGTACTCCTGTTTCAATATTTATATTCTCGTTTTTTTGCCGTCTCTCTTGTAATAACCGATAAATTTTATGTATGATAATGATAATATAATATCTAGTCGCAAATTATATGTATCCGCGTACATCGAAACGTGCAGATTGTCTGTTGGTTGATATGCAGCAGTTTATGTTACTGCGCAGTTTATGTTACTGCGTATAGGTATTCAATGCACATAGGTGGTTTACATGATGCTGTTTCTATTCGCTTTGAGTAAGTTTCTTAATTTGTCAGCGAATTTGCTGATGAACATTTCTAGACGCACATTTTTTATTCGCTAGCATTTAAAATTTTGAAGTTGCGACGGTTAATAGTCGTTGCGACAAAGTGAACATGTTCAACTTTAACGCTTTCAAGTCGAGTGAATAGCTGAATGACTTTTGCAATAGTGCCAAGAAAAACTGCGTGTCAAGACAATAGCGAATGAATCAGACGTCGAGTTAATAATTGAGCGAATAGTTCAGCATACTGCGCGAAATGGCCAGTTAGTTAACAACATTGACACATTTTTTTTTAATTTCTCGCACGTTAGTCGCAATATTTTATATTGCGCAATTGGATCTTCCAATATTCCTCAAAAAGAAGCATCTTGAATCAGTCTTATTCTATTCATGTCCGTAATCACATTCTTTTTCTTCTTTTTTGTTTTATTACAGGATCGTGAATTTCAATTTGAAAAGCAACGGCTCATAATTGTTCCGTGATCCTGTTACAATCTTTCCAAAAGGCGACTTCCGTATTCCATATTTGTTTACCGGTGATATATAGATATCACAGGTGATATGAGGTGGTAAGTGGTTTAAAGCTAGCGATTTTGTCAGCCGAAAATTTATTTTGGAAAAGCGAGAATCTAGCGACAAAAAAGAAGCTAGCGATAAACGTCAAAAGTATATAGCATCGTGTAGTTTACTCTTATAGTTCCATTCGCGGATACAATCATGAAGAGCTTGATTCTTCGCACTATTGCGAGATGCGTGTGTGCTCGTTTGGAAGATGCCTCTCAATTCCTACAAAACTCGAACTGCTTGAATTCTCGTAAAATGGAGATTCGATTCAGTCATTCGCTGAATTTGCAATGAAATCGAATTGAATGCATGGCATAACCAAAATATGCAATTAACAACCTTTCAGGTGGGCCATTCATATTTATGCATTTAAATGCGCATCTCAGTAATATAAGTAACATTATTTTCCTGGTAATAACGATGAAGAAAATATAGAAAGAGCTATAGTAAAATTATTTTGCATTCTATTGGATGCTGGCGAAACTAACTTTCTCATCCAATCAACGATAAAAGAATGAGATAGAAAACTATTTACTGAAATTTACCATAATTCAGAGTATCATAAGGATCGTATCTACGTCGTGGATCAACGTCGTGGATTTTATCACCTTAATCAAAATTTTTTTATTTTCTTTCGCGAGAGAAACTATTACAGTGATTAACATATTTTTTGCGTATCATCCATACATATACTATTATCAAGTTGATCTTCGTAAATTAACAGACAGTTGATACAAATAAGACTATTAGCATTTTTATCAGCGATGTTTAAAAATTCTTTTAAATAATTACTTTCTTCTTTTCTGAATATTATATGCTTTATTATACCATTAATCATAAGCAAGAAGATTTGTAGAAATTTTTTAATGCAAAATATTTCAAAATAATATTCTTTTTTGAAGTTTTTCTTAAGAAAGATAAAAAGTAAAATAGGAGGAAATCGTAAAATAAGAACTATCTCATAAATATCGAAAAGAATATTTAAATTTAACAAAATAAAATAGAAAAGGTTCTATATTTCTTATCAATATTTTCTAGAGCATCCGTACAAATATAAAAATATTATAGAAGGAAAATTCCTTATCGTATTTGCATTTTATATGCAAAGTAGTAATTTTTGTAAACATTCCTTTCCGAGTAACGTTACATTGCATAATATCAGATTCCAGGATTAATAAATATATTAAGTCTCGCGATTGCAATTGGAATTATGAAATATCATTCATTAACAAGAGGAAATAATCAAACTAACTTTAATTGCACTTGGGAATTGTTTCACATAGTTGGCATTTGCTGACAGTTTCTGACATTTCATTATTTCAGCCTGCTGTTGTCGTTTTCTTGCGGTCCGCGCAATGCTGCGTACACAAACATAAACCGCATACATTCCGCATAGAATTAATATGTCGATTCGCATAATCTTGTGTTCATGTGACACTTGTGCGAAGACAATGAGATTACATTCAGAATGGAGTGAAGCTTGCTTTATCTAGTGTTCTGCCGTACCGTAATCGTTCACATTGTCGTAAAATTCTAGCCTGCAATTCCGTTTCATTATTTCTTATCTTTTTTCCACTCCATGAAAAACGGCGCTCTCTTGAACGATACAAAAAAACATCTTATCTCGTTCTGCTAACTGAGCGTTAATTAATTTGCGCAATATTTTAAACTTCTCCTCTCCTACTTTTATCGATTCTTTTTAATTTTGCAGTGACTTTCAGAATTATCTCTTGCTCTGCTTTAGCTTCCTTTTTCATCTAATTAAAATATTATAATAAATTTTAGATATTAAAATATAGAAAAATAAGAAAAAGGAAATATTGTTTGTACTCTGGAATAAGAGAGGAAAAGATGGCTCATTATTACATTTCTTAAATTTAAATGTTATATCTTATTTATACAAGTTTTTCTAATTGTAGTATGAAAAACATTTCTTGAAAGAATGAACAGTTAATATTTACCTTGGGCTAATATTAATTACAATCTTTGTGCGTTATTTTTCTTCGTTTTATTTTCGCATATAATTCCATTCCCGAAAGCAAACATTATCGTCATAATTGATTTGATAATTTATTCGCACAACCTTGCACCGGATATATATACACATTCGGACATGTATGTACACATATCGCTATTTCGCTTAAATCACATCCATGGAACGTGAATAATTGGAACTTAGACTCGCATTTAGAGCGCAATCTGGGCTAAACGATCAATCACAATCGAACACCCGAGTCTTCCCTTACAAAGGAACGGACTTCTTTGTACGATCCCTTCGATGAGCGAGTAGTTCGAATACGAAATTTAGAGAGATCCGGAGGAACTGCTGTAAAGCAGCGAGAAAACAGGGCGAAACACGGAATCGCCATTAGCTGGATCCGGTTCTGTAAAACTACGAGCATTGTAACATTAGGCGACGGTCGGGGAACATAAGCTGTGAAATATTTGATGAAACTGTAATACTATACATTATTAGAATTTCAATACGATTGTAAGGAAATAAAATTAATGTGCATTTTAATTTCTAGCGTATAGAAAGGACATTAAATATGGATCAAGTATTAATCTAGATCATTTATTATATTTAAAAAACTATTATATTTTTTTCTCTAATACTGCATCTATATAAAAAATTTTTAATATTTAAGTTTTAGCAATTGTCAATGGTTTCTTATTTGCTAAAAATAGCATTCTATATTTTATTAATGTCATGTTGTTGGATAATAATATATGAAATAAACTCTTAGAAGTCAATCTTTAAATTATATATTCATTTAAAAATTCACTCAAAGTTTAGTACAAGAATTGCAGCCTTAAGATTTTTATAGAATGTAGTAAATAGTCTTAGATTTTCTGCAAATAATTAATATTATGTTCAATATAGATTAAAAATGGGTTTATTCAATAAATATATTATAGCAATATTTCAAATGCACAATATACACAAACTTTGTTATAGTATATGCGATTAAATAAGACATAATATATAAAGAATAAAATTAGATAAAATGGAGAATAAATAAAAATAAAAAAAATTAATCTCTAGTATAAAATTTAAAAGCCACACAAATGTATCATCTGGTATTATGGTCTTGTAATCAAT